CTCGTCCACTACTCTATCTCCAAGCCAGTGTTTACCTATTTCGCGCCTAAATCTAAATTTGTCTAATTTAAAATCATTGTTACGAGTTCGCTGCTGGTTGGATAGTTTTGAGTACCTTTGTAATGTCCCCTTTGTTTAGCCCTTACTTCCATTTATACACCTCGATCATATCGCCCCTCGCTCTACTTCTCTCGAGGGAGTGCAAATTAAGATGCTTTAACCTGTCTCTGCACTCAAGGTTCCTAATGCCCGGGATTAGTCTTGTTATTCTCCTCTGAATTCTTTCCAAGGATTCTATATCCATTCTGTAGCATGGTGACCAGAAATAACTGCGTAATCCAAGTGAGGTCTCACAAGCGCAAGATATAGTTTTAGGATGACCTCGCTAGTCTTGCAACTAACACTCCTTTGTATGAACCCAAGTCCCACTCACAATGCCTCGCTCACAACACCTCACATGTAGCACCTCACTCGCAACACCTCACTCACAACACCTCACATGAAACACCTCACTCACAACACCTCTCTCACTGTGTAAAGTCCCATGTTGACACTAACTTTTTTGTCTCCCGGGTGTGTTTGTGACAGTGAGAGCCCCAGCCAATATTTACATCCTATACGTGTTGATGTTATTCACCCCTCACGATACTTGATTACTCTTGCTGCCGCTCTGTCAAGGATGGAAACATGTCCTGAAAAAAAAAAAAAACAGACTCCGGGTCATCTCAACTTTTTCTTTTCTGTTCACCTGTTGATTAAATACTCTGATGCTACGTGAGATGCAGGGGTAGGTTAGGTTAGGTTAGCTTTATGTTAGGTTAGCGTTATATTAGATAAGATTTATGTTATGTTACGTTATGTTAGGTTAGGTTAGGTTAGATTAGCTTCGCCATGTTAGGTTAATTATGGTTTGGTTAGGTTAGCGTTATGTTTGGTTAAGTTAGGTTAGCTTTAGGATAGTTAATCTTAAGGTGAAATAACCAGGGAGTTTATTCTTCATGTGCATCTTTAAAACTCTCCCTATGAAGATGCTGGAGGAGGAGGTGCTGAAGGAGATGCTGGTGGAGGAGGAGGTGCTGAAGGAGGAGGTGCTGGTGGAGGAGGTTCTGAAGGAGGAGGTGCTGGTGGAGGAGGTGCTGAAGGAGGAGGTGGTGCTGGAGGAGGAGGCGCTGGTGGAGGAGGAGGCGCTGGTGGAGGAGGAGGTGGTGCTGGAGGAGGTGGTTCTGGTTATGTTAGGTTAGATTAGGTTACATTAAGGCAGGTTAGGTTAAGTTAATAGGTTATGTTAATTAAGTTAGATTAAGTTACATTGACAGGTTAGTTTACGTTAGCTTACATTAAGACAGGTTAGTTAGGTTAATTTGGTTAGATTAGATTACGTTAACTTAGGTTAGTTAGGTTTGGTTAGAATATATTAATTAGGTTAGGTTAGTTAGGTTAGGTAAGATTATGTTAATTAGGTTAGGTTAGATTTGCGTTAGAGCGGTCAATCTTCAGGTGATGTTAAAATACCCCAAAATAAATCAGATATAAAACTTCCAATAAAAGGTAATATTTTACGATGAATTTACAGAGTTAATAAAAAATAAGTGAACAGAAACCCACAAGAGCCACTAGGATGGGCCTCAGGTGTGTTGATATTGGTTTTGTTGTGAGCGATGCTGCTGAAAAAAGAATCACCCGGCCCGGCACGCTTCCTTTTTTCTTTCCCAGGACCAATAAGAAACTCGAGCGCGGAGATAAATCTTGGGAGCCAGTTATTGGTGTCAATACTGGGGAATAAAAGTGAGGTCGGCCTCTCAATATGCAGCGGGAGGTGTGTTGGGAGGGAGAGAGGGGGTGGTTGGGAGGGAGAGAGGGGAGGGAGAGAGGGGGTAGTGGGGAGGGAGAGAGGGGGTAGTGGGGGAGGGAGAGGGGGGGTAGTGGGGGTGTGGAGAGGGCGGCACTAAGATAAAGAGTAGAGCTGGGAGCTTCATTTCCCTCCTTTATGTATTCTTCACAGCTAACACTCCGATAGCCCTCCAGGGACTCTCGTGTTTCCTCCCTGGTGCTGCTTTTTGGGGGAGAGATATTCACCCAGTAGTCTGACGATACTTTACTCCTACTACTATTACTACTTACTATTACTACTTCAACAATAACTACTACTACTTCTACTACTTTTTTCTAATGTGGCCCCCAGCCTCTCTTTATAGCTACACCTTCCCCACCATTTTATTACCTTAATATCCTAATGCAAAAGTAACTACTACTATTACGACTACTACTACTACTACTACAACTACTACTATTACGACTACTACTACTACTACAACTACTACTATTACGACTACTACTACTACTAAAAAAAAAAAAAAAAAAAACGTGGCCTCCAGCCTCCCCCAATAGCCACACCTTCGCCACCATTTATTTACCTTAATATTAAATATCCTAATACATAAGAAACTATCCTATCTGTGTTAAATTAGTTGAGCCGCAGATCCATGCGGCATTCAGTGACTGTAGCCTCATAGTCGATATCTGCAGCAGTTGTCGGAGTAGGGGCAGAAGCTCTCGTTCCCCTGAGGCAGAGCAAAGCCGACCGAAGGAGAGAGAAGGACAGTCGACATCTCATCCAGGCTGTGACATAACTTCTGGGCTGCTGCTTCTGTTCGGAGATCAGCTCCGCGAGTCTGGCGTAGAAACATCTTGCACTTGGGCCCATCCCCCCAGAGGTTGTGAACACTAGAGGAGTGAAGCTGCCTTGATCAACATTTTGAATTCTCTCCCCATATGCCCTTCTCTTGTCGTTCTCGTTCCTCCTATGTGCAGCATCAAGAGCTAGGTTACGGTGACAAGCGGCCATGGGATCAAAAATCCTGATGTCGAAGAAAGCTCGCTGTCCCCGCGTCCAGAATCCTCGAGCACTGACGTCCACGCGGGCTTCGTTAGATGTGTTTGAAGTCCTGTGTTGGAAGATCTCGCCATCCAATGGAAGGAGAGTCGGTTCTACCATGACGTCCCGGCAGATTTCCTTCAACATATTTGCTGTGAGATCCCTTACCTCGTCATACCTCATGCATATAAGCCCCCCTTCTTGCAAACCATGGCGTGATCGCCATCATAAAGAATAGCCACACACGCATTGGGAGGGCAAACCATCTACTGGCCAACCGTACTTGCCTTAGAGCAATGGCATCTATAGGGTCTTGTTTGTTAAGGCTGGAAACCATTTGCCCTTATCGGTAACGTAGTTAGCCAGTTCGAGCGCCCACACTCCTGCGCCTACTACTACTACTACTACTACTATTACTGCTGCTACAAAATTAATGATGATGATGATAATAATGGTAGCGATGAATTTAATAGGGAGTTTTGAACATGGGGCGTATTTCTCTGACGTAAGACACCAAACGCACGACATATTAACTTGGGAGGTGTCAGGTCATCAATGGGATAAATCTAAAATTAGTTATATATTCAAACACGCTTTAAAAACTACTTCGCAAAATCTAATGTGGAAGTTTGTCAATAACTCTCTCTCTCTCTCTCTCTCTCTCTCTCTCTCTCTCTCTCTCTCTCTCTCTCTCTCTCTCTCTCTCTCTCTCTCTCTCTCTCTCTCTCTCTCTCTATCTAATTATCTATTATCTATCTATCTATCTTGTCTGTATATACTATCTTTCTCTCATGTCTCTCATATCTCTATTTACTCTTTCTCTCTCTCTCTCTTCTGTCTCTATCTACTCTCTATTCACTCTATCTCTATCTTTCTACTTTATCAACACACTCTCTCTCTCTCCCACCATTAACACACACCACCAACCTCTCTCACGTAATACCAATGACAACAAAACATCACTAATATACCTATGTGATCCTGTTAAGCATCAACACCCAGGGCAAAGATAGTATTAGTCGCAGCTGAAGACATTTGTGCTCTAAGTGAATTATTTAAATGTATGTTGATATGTTAATTTTATCGATTTGTAGAGTTTAAATTTTTTGGGGTATTTTTGTATATTATTATTATTTTTTTCGATCTGACTACAGGGTGTATGACCTGGCCACGGGGGTGTATCATCTGGCCACGGGGTGTACGATAAGGCCATGGGGTGTACGACTTGGCCATGGGGATTACGACCTGGCCACGGGGTGAACTCCATGGCCACAGGGTGTACGACTTGGCAATGGGGTGTACGATAAAGATATTGGGTGCACGACTTATGCATGGGGTGTACGACTTGGCCATGGGATTACAACCTGGCCATGGGTGTACCATCTGGCCACGGGGTGTACGAGACTTGGCAATGGGGTGCATCGCCTGGGTGAGACAGCAGTGACATGGGTGAGGACAGTGACATGGATGAGGACAGTGACATGAGGAGGACAGTGACATGGGTGAGAATAGTGACATGGTGAGGACAGTGACATGAATGAGGACAGTGACATGGGTGAGGACAGACATGGGTGAGAACAGTGACATGAATGAGGACAGTGACATGAGTGAGGACAGTGACATGGGTGAGGACAGTGACATGGGTGAGGACAGACATGAATGAGGGCAGTGACATGAGTGAGGAGAGGACATGGGTGAGGACAGTGACATGAATGAGGACAGTGACATGAGGAGAGAGGACATGGGTGAGGACAGTGACATGGGTGAGGACAGCGACATGAGTGAGAAGAGAGTGACATGGGTGGAGGACAGTGACATGAGTGAGGAGAGTGACATGGGTGGAGGACAGTGACATGAGTGAGGAGAGTGACATGGGTGAGGACAGTGACACGAGTGAGAACAGTGACATGAGTGAGGAAGACAGTGACATGGGTGAGGACAGTGACATGGAGTGAGGAGAGTGACATGGGTGAGGACAGTGACATGATTGGAGGAGAGAGTGACATGGTGAGGACAGTGACATGAGGAGAAGAGTGACATGAGGAGGACAGTGACATGAGTGAGAACAGTTACATGAGTGAGGACAGTGACATGAGGAGGAGAGTGACATGGGTGAGACAGTGACATGGGTGAGGACAGTGACATGGGTGAGGACAGTGACATGAGTGAGAAGAGTGACATGAGTGAGGGCAGTGACATGAGTGAGAATAGTGACATGAGTGAGGACAGTAACATTTGTGATGGTGACGGTAACACTAATGGTGCTGACAGTAACAGCTGTGATGCTGATAGTAACCTTATGGTGCAAAAAGTAACAGTTATGGTGCTGACAGTAAGTTATGGTGCTGGCAATGAGTTATGACGCTGATATTAACAGTTATAGTGTTGTCAGCAAGTCATGGTGCTGACAGCGACAGTTATGTGTGCTGACAGCGACAGTTATGATGCTGGCAGTAGTAGTTGGGGGTGCTGACAGTGACGGTGCTGACATATGACGAGCTTATGTTGTGTTTTTGTGTGTACAGTGTGTGTTTATATCAGTAAATGTGGGTGCCTATGTATGTATGCATGTTTGTATATGAGCATACGTGTACATGTAACGTATGTCTGTGTGTATGTAAATAAATGTGTGTGTATGAGTATGTGTATTATATATGTATGTCTATCGGTATATGGCGATTATATTAAATATCTGTCTAGCTATATATCTTGTAGTCACCAGTTGGGTTTAAATATCCCGCCAAAATCACCGTCACATGATTGGTTTTTAAAGTTGCCAGATTTGTCAAGAAAATAATTCATTTAGTCGTTCAGTGGCAGAAGGTGAAGGACGTACAGAACCGCGTGTGCATTTTTTTTTGTCTCACAACTCATTGACGGATCATACTTATGGAGCCGTGAGGAAGACTGTGGTTGATACTGGTAGTGAGAGACGACACAAGGAATGAGAAAATTGTTTGTAGACAAGACCTGGTGGATGCTGGCGGCAAGTGACAACACCAGGTTAGGAGGAGAGTCGAGCTCGGTGTTTAAATCCCCTCTTTGTGATGTTTGTGTATAGTATTAGGTCACAGTTATTTTATGAATGAATGTTGGTGAAAGTTTTGTGTTACGATATTTCGAATATCAATAATGGAGGGTAAAAAGGCATAGCGTAAGCCTGGATTTAGCAAAGGAAGAATTTCGAAACTAGCAGTTTGGTACAGCTCACCCAAAAGTTCGATAACTCTCCCAGCCAGCTATTGCTGCGCTGCCTGCTTCAGATATTTGAAACTGTCTCAGTACCAACCAGAACACGAAACCCATACGAATGAATCTAAAGGTTCGAAGTAACAGACTCAAGTTCATACATCTGAAGCAGGCAGTGCACCAACAGCTGGCTGGAAGAGTTATCGAACTTTTTGGGTGAGACTGTACTCCTCCCCGTCCTTAGTGGTTGTTCAACTGCGTGTAAAAATGACAACAACTTTCATATGGCCTAAGGAATTTTTCATAGAGGATATAGAATACTAAAATTAGAGTGATGAACCCCGAGATTCAGACTCGTGAACCCAAAGCAGTAGACACTGATACGTTATTCTGTCCATAAATGCTTCGGATTCAAGAGTCTGAATCTCGGGGTTCATGGTTCGCGACAGGACTTTTTTGGGTGACTGTACACATAAATATGAACACCGGATCACGTGAAATTAGTATTCATCGCAGCTTATTTTACCTTACGATTAATAATAATAATAAAAATTGTTGTTGCCCCTCGTGAAACGAGGATGGCTGGCGTAAATTTGTTTAAGGTGTAGAAGCTGTCGCCAACACAACAACCACACCCTAAGTTAACGAGCTGCAGCCTGCATGACCCAGTGTCAAGGAATAGTTCGAGAAGACCGGACAACTCACCTACTGCACTGGCTAACCATTACCCTGGAATACGATCAGCAAATCGATTAACATCTAGGTTCCCAATTACTGCTGGGTAAAAAGAGGCAAAAGGCGTAAAATAACTTGCCCCATGGTTTCACCCTGCCCGGGGATCGAACTCTGTCCGCTCGCTTGCGAGGGGAGCACACTGAACATTGCACCACGTGACTGATATCTTAATAAAAACTTCTAAGATTATTTATTGTATTGAGGAGTGGTGAGCAAGTTAATGTTTTAAGTTTTAGATCACCCGAAGGTAAGACACCCTAGTTTATTTCACCTGAAGATAAACCACCCTAAGGGAGCCACGAATTACCCAAAAGTACCCAAAAGTACCCAAAAGCACCCAAATGTCAGTATAGTACAATCAGTAATCTTAACGAATATCTGTTATACATACACAAAACATGTCTAATAATATTTTAGTGTAATTTTGTAAAAATAATTTGTAAGATGAAATAATAAACAGCGAAAAACCTTTCAGTATTGGCGAACGCTAAATTCCAAAGAGCTCGTGAACAAGGGAGATAACTCAGATCCATCGGATGCACTTCGCTAACCTAACCTAACCTAACCTAACCTAACCTAACGAAAAGTAAATCCTACGGCTATATGTAAATACCCCAAAAATAACAGAAACATCGGTAATTATATTCCATTTTGGATAGGTGACTCTTTGGAATTTAGCGTTTTTCGCTGTTTATTATTTCATTATTTTGACTACATTTCAATGAAAACATTATTAATCAGGTTTTATTGATGTAAAACATATATTCGTTAAGATTTTACCCTGATTTAATATACTTTTGGGTACTTTTGGGTACTTTTGGGTAATTCGTTGGACCGCCACCCTAACGCTACTGGGAAAGGTCAGATTATTATGGAGAGTAGGTTAGCGTCAAGGTCGTTAATCTTCAGGTGAAATAAGTTGTGGGTCTAATCTTCAGGTGATCCTAAAAATCATGTTTCATTATCGGCAAGAGGGATGCCGGGGTACTTAAATACCAACTGGTGTTAAGATTGTTTGCACCTTTTAACACGTAATACTGGGTGATCTAAAAGTCCCTATACACCTGCAGTAATTAAAAATCCTGTAATATAGTTGTTCCTTGTTATACCTACAATGTGTTTTACCTTGTTCTACTTAGAGCAAATATTGAAAATGGCCAGAGTAAATGTTGGTAGATGATACCATTTGTAATAGTTACTGTAAGTAGAACAAATTGTATAGTAATGTAGGTGTAACAAGGAACAATTGTTAAATGTTTTAGGGGCACATGGACTTTTCGATCACCCTACATTACTGTATATATAATTAATTCGTCAGGGTTTAATATGTTTACACAAGCAAAGGGTTTTATCGTCATCACAGGTCAGCGTCTTTATTATGAATTTTCAAAAGTCGTTTGCGGTAGAAGCCAAGACCGAGTGACCTGGCAGGACCGTGCTATAAGACCAAGTGACCTGGCAGGACCGTGCTATAAGACCAAGTGACCTGGCAGGCCGTGTTATAAGACGCTGAGTCCTGGCAGGGCCAAGCTATAAGACCAAATGACCTGGCAGGGCCGTGCTATAAGACCAAGTGACCTGGCAGGGCCGTGCTATAAGACCAAAGTGACCTGGCAGGGCCGTGCTATAAGACCAAGTGACCTGGCAGGAAGTGCTATAAGACCAAGTGACCTGGCAGGGCCGTGCTATAAGACCTAGGGGAACCTGGCAGGGCCGTGCTATAAGACCAAGTGACCTGGCAGGGTAGTGCTATAAGACCAAGTGACCTGGCAGGACGTGCTATAAGACCAAGTGACCTGGCAGGACCGTGCTATAAGACCAAGTGACCTGGCAGGACGTGCTATAAGACAAGTGACCTGGCAGGGACGTGCTATAAGACCGTGACCTGGCAGGGACGTGCTATAAGACCAAGTGACCTGGCAGGGTAGTGCTATAAGACCAAGTGACGGCAGGCCGTGCTATAAGACCGTGACCTGGCAGGACCGTGCTATAAGACCGAGGGACCTGGCAGGGCCGTGCTATAAGCCAAGTGACCTGGCAGGGCAGTGCTATAAGACCAAGTGACCTGGCAGGACCGTGCTATAAGACCTAGGGACCTGGCAGGGCCGTGCTATAAGACCAAGTGACCTGGCAGGGCCGTGCTATAAGATCAGGCGAACTGGCAGGGACGTGCTATAAGACCAAGTGACCTGGCAGGACCGTGCTATAAGACCAAGTGACCTGGCAGGACGTGCTATAAGACCAAGTGACCTGGCAGGACCGTGCTATAAGACCAAGTGACCTGGCAGGGACGTGCTATAAGACCAAGTGACCTGGCAGGGTAGTGCTATAAGACCGTGACCTGGCAGGGACGTGCTATAAGACCGAGATGACCGCAGGGCCAAAAGAGATCAAGTGACCTGGCAGGACCGTGCTATAAGACCAAGTGACCTGGCAGGTAGTGCTATAAGACCAAGTGACCTGGCAGGACGTGCTATAAGACCAAGTGACTGGCAGGGCCAAGCATAAGACCAAGTGACCTGGCAGGACGTGCTATAAGACCAAGTGACCTGGCAGGGACGTGCTATAAGACCAAGTGACCTGGCAGGGTAGTGCTATAAGACCAAGTGACCTGGCAGGGACGTGCTATAAGACCAAGTGACCTGGCAGGGACGTGCTATAAGACCAAGTGACCTGGCAGGACCGTGCTATAAGACCAAGTGACCTGGCAGGGACGTGCTATAAGACCAAGTGACCTGGCAGGACCCTAAGACCAGTGACCTGGCAGGACCGTGCTATAAGACCAAGTGACCTGGCAGGGACGTGCTATAAGACCAAGTGACCTGGCGGACGTGCTATAAGACCAGTGACCTGGCAGGACCGTGCTATAAGACCAAGTGACCTGGCAGGACATTGCTATAAGACCAAGTGACCTGGCAGGGACGTGCTATAAGACCAAGTGACCTGGCAGGGCCGTGCTATAAGACCAGTGACCTGGCAGGACCGTGCTATAAGACCAAGTGACCTGGCAGGGCCGTGCTATAAGACCAAGTGACCTGGCAGGACGTGCTATAAGACCAAGTGACCTGGCAGGGCGTGCTATAAACCAAGTGACCTGGCAGGGCCGTGCTATAAGACCAAGTGACCTGGCAGGGACGTGCTATAAGACCAAGTGACCTGGCAGGGGCGCTATAAGACCAAGTGACCTGGCAGGGCGTGCTATAAGACCAGTGACCTGGCAGGGCGTGCTATAAACCAAGTGACCTGCAGGGACGTGCTATAAGACCAAGTGACCTGGCAGGACGTGCTATAAGACCGTGACCTGGCAGGGCCGTGCTATAAGACCAGAAGTGACCTGGCAGGGCCGTGCTATAAGACCAGTGACCTGGCAGGGTAGTGCTATAAGACCAAGTGACCTGGCAGGGACGT